AAAAAATAAATAAGCAAAATCCCCTGGGGCTGGTGTAGCTCGGTGGACTGAGCAGCAGCCTGTGAGTCAAATGGTGGCTGGTTCGATTCCCAGTCAGGGCATATACCTGGGTTGCAGACTAGGTCCCCAATGGGGAGTACATGAGAGGTAACCACACATTGATGTTTCTTTCTGTCCTTTCCTTTCCCTCTCTAAATAAATAAAATATTTTAAAATAAAATTAAAATTCTTAAAAAGATGTCCACACAAAACAGTGTACACAAATGTTTATACAGGTATTATTCATAATAGCCAAAAAGTAGAAACAATCCAGATGCCCATAATAAGTGAATGGAAAACAAATGTTATACCAAGGACATGAGGTTTCCCACAATGATAATGGGAGGTAAGCTATAAATCCAAGGCACATTTCAGAAACATGTGTGAGGGCACAAGCAGTTACAAAGCAGTTTAACCTCAGCCGCCACAAGGATCCAGTTAATGTTTACAGTGGGATCCTCCGTGTTAATGGCAGGGTCCCGGGAGGTTGGGAGCCTGGGTCATTTTGCCGGCCCTGGATCATTCTTTGTTCTGTCTGTGGCTCCTGGTGTTGGAATTCAGCATTGGACAAGCTCTCTGGTATGTGGGGAGGAAAAAAAACTTTTTTAAAATGGTGAATCATAAAAAGGTATAACGTACTGATTCATTATACAACATGGATGACCCTTGAAAATATTATGTTAAATAAAATAAGTCAGTCACAAAAAAAGACCACATCTTGTATGATTCCGTTATATGAAATGCCCAGAATAGGTGAATTCATGGAGATAGATGTAGGGCTGTAAGGGGTGGGAGAGGGGAGGAATGGGGAATGAGGTTTGCTTTTTGGAGTGATGAAAACATTATGGAGTTGGTTACATCTTTTTTTTTTTTTAAGTGTGCAGGAATCAGAGCAGTTACTGTGCTTATGTTCATTTTGTAGGTGAAGAAAATGATGACAAGCCCTGGCTAGGTGGCTCAGTTGGTTGGAGTTTCATCCCATACACCAATAGGTTGCAAGTTCAATCCCAGTCATGGCACATACCTAGGTTGTGGGTTCAAGCCCCAGTCAGTGTGTGAACCAGTGGCTTTGACGAGTTCCTGAGGCAGCCTATCAGTGTTTCCTTTTTTTTTCTTTTAAGATTTTATTTATTTAGTTTTAGAGAGAGGGGAAGAAAAGGAGAAAGAGAGGGAGAGAAACATCAATGTGTGGTTGCCTCTCATGCTCCCTACTGGGAACCTGGACTGCAACCCAGGCATGTGCCCTGACTGGGAATCAAACTGGCAACCCTGTGATTGGCAGTCCATGCTCAATCCACTGAGCTACACCAGCAGTGCCAATATTTCTCTCTCACTCTCCCTTCCTCTCTCTCTCAAATCAATAAACACATCCTCAGGTAAAAATTTTTAGAGTGATGATAAGTTTAAAAATTTACCCAAAGGTCTAGGCCAGTATATAAAGGAAACAAGTGTCAAATCCAGTCTTCTAATTTTGTTGGTATAGGTAGTTCTCCCATGGCAAATGTCAGGCTTAGAGCATACGTGATTCAGCAGTTCTTTGCTATATTACTTCCCTATATAATTTTATCATGGCTAACTCTATAGCATTTTTCCACTGCTACAATAGTGGGTAAACAGCAAACTTTTATTGAGTGCTTATTTTGTGTAAAGTACTTTATACATATTACCTCTTATCCTTTACAATAATCTAGATCAAGATACTGAGGATAAAAAAAGTTAAGCACTTGCCCAGACTCAACAAAGCTAGTAAGGGATAGAACCAGAATTCAAACCCAGCTTTTCTCATCTTGACACACCTGCTTCTGTATATCTCCTGTGTGTTTCATAATGTTTACTGAGAACTTACAGTATACCAGGCATTATTCTACTCTCTTCTTTCTCCTTTTCTCCCCACTCTCTAAAAATAAATAAATAAAATCTTTTAAAAAAGAAAAAGCTCTGCCTGGCATGACTCAATGAATTGAGTGCCAGCCTGCAAGTTAAAGGGTCACTGGTTGGATTCCCAGTCAGGGCACATGCCTGGGTTCTGGGCCAGGTCCCCAGTTGAAGGTGCATGAGAGGCAACCACACATTGATGTTTCCCTCTCCCACCTTTCTACCTACTTTCCTCTCTCTTAAAATAAATAAATAAAATATTTTTTAAAAAAGAAAAAGCCCTGGCTGTTGTGGCTCAGTGGATTGAGTGCCCACCTGCAAAGCAAGGGGTCACTGGATCAATTCCCAGTCAGGGCACATGCCTGGGTTGCAGGCCAGGTCTCCAGAAGGGAGCACATGAAAAGCAACCACACATCGATGTTTCTATCCCTCTCTTTCTCCCTCCTTTCCCCTCTAAAACTAAATAGAGAAAAAACCTTAAAAAAAAAAAAGGCCAATATACCAGGCACTACTCTAAATATTTCATACAGATTATCTCATTTAATCCTCACAAAAATTCTCTGAGATAAGAAGGAAACATTAATTAATATTTTTATTTTATAAGGTATAAAGAGGAAAACTAATCTACCACAGGTCTCAGGGCAAGAGAATAGCAAAGCTGTGATTGGAACAAAGGCTGTTCGACTTCAGAATCTGTACTCTTAAGCACTGCAGTATAGAATTCTCACTCTTACTCATTTCAAATCTCCAGTGGCTTTCTAGTAGAATCATTACAGAGCTTCCATATTGTAAAAGGTTGCATGTCTGAAAGGGTATACTCATATGTCAAACTGCATTATTTACTTTTGTTATAAAAGTACATATGTTAAAAAGGGACAAACAAGTTCTTAATTTTAAAAAAAGTAAAAATTATGCCTGAAATTATTGTTTTATTTTGAAGGCTTCCAGGGTCTTCAATGTGGACCAAAAGGTTTCAAAGGCCAATTGATATGGATTCATTGGAAATATGACATTAACTGAACTAAATTGTATGAGAAAATCACCTCTGCAAGCCTGCTTTGTAAGTACCTTAGAGGCAGTATGTCATAATGGTTAAAAGCCTATAGTTGGGAATTAGATTGATCTGTGTTTGACTCCCATTTTCAGCACTTACTGAGTGACTTTAGGCAAGTTCCTTTAATTCTCCTAAGCCTCGATTACCTAATCTGTAAATTGGCAGTAACATCAATCTCATCAAATTGTGAAGTAGATAATATATTAATAAATAAGATTATGTAATGTAAGTGTTCCTACATAGAAAGTGCTCAACAATACGTATTTATTGTTTTCGTTAATTTTATTTATTTTTAGAGATGAGGGAGGGAGGGAGAAAGAAAGGGAGAGAAAGGTTGATGTGATCTGTTGCCTCTCCTACAACCAGGGACAGAACCCACAACTCAGGCATACACCCTTACCAGGATTCCAACCAACCTTTCCTTTGCAGAAAGACACCCACCCAACAGAACCACACCAGTCAGGGTAATACATATTCATTATTATTAGCAATAACAAATGGCAAAAAATATTTTATTTTTAAAAGATTTTATTTCTTTATTTTTAGACAAAAGGGAAGAGAGGGAGATAGACAGGGAGAGAAACATTAATGTTTGGTCGCGTTTCACAGGCCCTACACCAGGGAACCTGGCTGGCACCCCAGGCATGTGCCCTGACTGGGAATCGAACCGGTGACCCCTTGGGTCACAAGCTCACTGAGCCACACCAGTGGGGTGACAAAAAATTTTTTTAAATGTTTGCAGTTCCATTTTCAACCAGAAGTGTCTCAGAAGATGAGTTTCTCATTCTCCTTTTTAAAGACACTTTGCTGCTTTCCTCTGGCAGGTTTTCAGGGTCAAATTCCCAATATTCTTTTCTTTGTTTCTCTCCCTCTCTCTGACTTCCAAAACTTCCTATGTCTGTAGTTTAAAAAAAGTATATTTGAGCCCTGGCTGGTGTAGCTCAGTGGGTTGAGTGTGGGCTGGGAACCAAAGTGTCACAGGTTCGATTCCCAGTCAGGGCACATGCCCAGGTTGCAGGCCACGGCTTCCAGCAACCGCACATTGATGTTTCTTTCTCTCTCTTTCTCCCTCCCTTCCCTCTCTAAAAATAAATAAATAAAGTCTTTAAAAATATATATATATATTTGTTCCTTACATCTTTATTCACTTATTCCATCATTCATCCACCCAATGAGTATTTTTAAAGCACCTAATTTATGCAACACACTGATGCTATGATCTTCTTCTTAATGTACATAAGATTTATTTTTTAAAAAGATTTTATGTATTCATCTTTAGAGACAGGGGAAGGGAAGGAGAAAGAGGGAGAGAAATATTAATGTGTTCTTGCCTCCTGCACGCCTCTGTACTGGAGACCTGGTCCACAACCCAGGCATGTGTCCTGACTGGGAATCGAACTGGCAACTCTTTGGTTTGTAGCCCACACTCAATCCACTGAGCTACACTAGCCAGGGCCTAAAGATCTTAGAAACTGATGAGACACAGAGCCTTCCCTAAAGAACCTCAGTCTTCTTTAGCAAATAAAAGTACGGACACCGATTAAACTGGAACCTCAGATAAATAAGGAATAATTTGTTAGTGTATGTCCCATGCATTGAATACTGTTCAGGGGAAGAGCTATAATGTAATATAAATGCTAAAAAAAGTTGTGGGACTATTCCTTAGAAATTTTGCTTAAATTCTGATTAGACTGATTTAGAGGTACTGCATGACCAATGGTACTTCTCCTAGGGAGGAACCTAAATTCATCACCCAGCTTTGCCACTCGTGGCCGCTGGATGCCGCCACAAACGCATTAAACGCAACTACTGAAACCATAGACAAACAGGAGACTTGATAGCCCAGAGAGGCTCCCCGCCACCCCACCCCACCCCCCGCCCCGCCCCGCCCCGCCCCGCCCCGCCCCCGCTGAGTCGCTCTAGATCCTAGGATCCCTTGCTGGAAGGCAATTGACCCAAGAATGGAGAAGGTCTCGCGAGAGTGAAAGCCTGTCCCGCGATTTTAAGGTTTATTTATTTATTTATTTGTACTTAGCGACTAACAACAGGAGGGTTGCTCCAGGTAGAATCCCTGAGTGGCCTGGCCGGAGATCCGAGTGAGACCCCAGCCGTAGGCCGGGGTTCTTTCCTTATAGAGGAGACGGATTCAGAGGGGCTACAGGTAATTTGTACTCATACTAGCAGAAAGAGAATTTCCCTCCCAAGAGGAAATTAAGATGACTCCCTTTCCCTTCTTCCAATCGCCCCCCAATCTTTTCACATCTCCATGACAACCGTTCCTTCTTTCCTTTCTTCACCCCACCTCCCGCTTCTTTTTCTTCGGGATCTGACCTGCAAGACAAGGGGGGGGGGGCATGAGAGTGATGCTTTCAGATTATTGGATGGGACCGAGAGACTGGAGTTTGCCCTGTTTTCCGGCAAACAAGGTGACTCCAGAGACAACTCTTTGTAGAGCCTCTACAGCCTTCCCGGAGAAACCTCGACAGCCTTGGGAAAACTGGCATAACCTGAGGAGAGAGTCGCCATCTGCAGATGAACACTGTTATGCCACCCACTGTAGGTGTATCTTAACAGCTTTGGGGAGCTTGTGCAGAAATTAGCTGTTTCCCTCCACGATTCCCTCTTTCCTCAGCCAGCTTGTCAGCAGTTCCTATATAAGGGCTGCAGCAGGTTGATTAACTGCTTGACCTAGAACCAAGACGCCTTAAGGAAAGTTTGAATGGGGGTGAAAGTTTCATGTAAAAATGATGCGTTGAGTAAGGAGGAGGACCAATGCTGGTTTGGAATCGCAACTCTCCACGGAGTGCTTAATATCTCATAACATGAGCTATGTAATCATGTCTCCTTTTGCTTAGACCAAGATTGTTGAGAACCAGACATATGATGAGCGTCTAGAGATTAACGACTCCGAAGAGGTTGCAAGTATTTTTACTCCAACCCCAAGATACAGAGGTAAAAGAGGAATTAGGAAGAAAGAAGAAAAATGGTTCTCAGAACAAAGCAGGAGGGATTCATGATTGTTTCCATGAAATTCCTATTTTGTAATAGCAAATGTTTGCTTTCAGAGTCGTTACTTCACTTCCATTGTTTCTGTTTTCTACCCACTTAAGGGGAAGAAAAGACAGCCACTTAGGTTTCAGGATTCTTCCAACCTGATTAGTGTTCCCAATCACTATTTACTTCATGATACTGTTCTGCTCACCATCTGCTGGGGAGGAGGAGTATCATTTTTAAAAATGTATTAAAACGGTTTTTCTCACTTTTGAAGATGCTTCAATAATCTGCCCTTAACCTACAACTCCAGTAAAAATCTCAGTGGAATATTTTAAGAGGACTTGACATCATCATTTATCCAACAGTGCATTTTTTGAATGCATACTATGTGCCAGCCTTATGCTTGTCACTGCACATTGATTCTGCCCTCCTGATGCTTGTAATCATGGGAGACAGATAACAAATGAATAAACAAATGTAATTACAAATGTGATAAATGCACTGATGGAGGCAAAGAGTTTGACGTTATGGAGAATGATGGTGACCAGTGGGATCTACTAGGTTTTCTTTTTACAATTTTATTTATTTTTTAGAGATAGGGGAAGGGAGGGAGAAAGAGGGAGAGAAACGATCCTCTCACTCAATTCCAATTGGTGACCTGGCATGCAACCCAGGCATGTGTCCTGACTGGGAATCCAATCAGCAAACTTGGTTCCAAGGCCAGAGCTCAACCCCACTGTTAGAGTAGCCAGGGATGACCTAAGGCATTATTGAGACTGAAAGATGGGAAGGATCCAGACACTGAGGAAAAGTAGGCCAGAAAAAACGAAGAGCAAGTGAAATGTGAAAAGGCCCTGATGCTAGGAAGAACTTGTTAGTGTGAAGACTTGAAAGAGACCAGCATATGGTAGGAGGGAGTGATATCAGAGGAGGCAAGCAGGAGGTAGGCAGAAGGCATAATAAGCAGAGCTTTAGAGGCTGTGCTGCTGTTATATGTGGAATGGATTAAAAAGTGAAACTAGGAAACCAGGTGGAAGAAATGTTGCAGTGGCTGATTTGAGGTGACAGTGGCTTGGGTGGGGTGAGGAAGTTGGGAATAGCGAGAGGAAAAATCACTAAGACTTGCTGATGGATTAGATTTGGCTCTTGAGTTAGGAATCAAGGGTGATATTCAGGGTTGTTTGTTTGTTGTGGTAAATACACCTAATATAAAATTTGCCATTTTAGTCCTGATTGGTGTGGCTCAGTTGGGTGTCCTCCCCCAAAGCAAAAGGTCACCAGTTTGATTCCCAGTCAGGGCACATGGCTGGGTTGCAGGTTTGGTCCCAGATGGGGCACATACAGAGGCAGCAGATTGATGATTCTCTTCTCACATCATTTTTCTCCCTCTCTTTCTCCCTCCATTCCCTTGTCTCTAAAAATAAATTTTAAAAAATCTTTAAAAAAATGATAACCTTTTTTAAATGTATAATTCAATGGCATTAAATAAATTCATATTGTTATGTAGCTATCTCTACTGTTTTCAGAACTTTTTCATCATCCTGAACAGATGAAAAATACCTATTAATTAATAACTCCCCATTCCCCTATATTTCCTACCTACTTTGTCTCTGTGAATTTGCCTATTGTAGCCTATTGTAGTAGAATCATACAATATTTGTCCTTTCGCAATATGGCTTATTTCACTTAACATAATGTTTTCAAGGTTCATCCATGCTGTAGCATGTATTAGAATTTCCATTTTTATGGCTGAATAATAGTCCATTGTCTATATAGCCATGTTTGCTTATCCATTCATCTCCTGTTGGACACTTGGGTTCTTTACATCTTTTGGCTATTATGAATATGTTGCTATGAATATTGGTGTACAAGTTTCTGTTTGAATCAATGCTTTTAATCTGGTGGGTATATGTATACCTAGACACCCAGGTTTTTGACTTGACCATATTTTTAATCTTGCCAGCTATGGACATGATAATTTATTTTTATTCTGGGCAATTTAGTACGCTGGAAAATGGTGTTTAATTGTCATTTTATTTGATTTAGAAATCATACCAGTTATCATTTTACATTTAGTTGTGAATATTTTGGGTTAATTGTTCAGAATATTTTTATTGCTCTGTGGGCACTGATTCAGGTTTATATTTGTGACTATAATTTGACAGAAGCTATGTAAGTTTCTTTCATGTAAGTTTTTTCATTTGATCCTTATAGTAGTTTTGAGTGAAAAGTATTATTGACCTCATTTAGAGATGGGAATACTGAGACTCAGAGAAGTTAAGGGATTTTGTCCAAGTGATAGAGTTGTTCTTCAAACCCAGTATTCTGACTATAAACCCAGTACTCTTTTCACTTTACTAATTACTAACCTCATTTTACCAATGTGCAACTAAGGGCAGATTTTATACTATTTATGTAACAGCAAATAATCAGTTAGCGTAATGTCTAACCCCATGACTTAAGCACAGTGATGCTTAGTAAATATATATTGAATTGACAGAGCCATGACTAGAGTTTAGTCTCCTATCCTTTAGGTAGATGTTCATATAAACTGTGTTCCATAAAGTGGTTAGATTATAATATATTATAAACTAAAAGTATTTGTCTTTAAAAATCATTTTAACAATAACCTAAAGGGAAAACTTTTCTCTTAAGGACTTCCTCATTCTGCCCATCCTCCTAACAAGACTATGGCTGATAACAGCAGTGATGAGTATGAAGAGGAAGATAACAAGGTGTGGTATAACCCATGGCTTTTTGTGGAATTTCTACTTTTATTTTTTTTTTTTTAGTAATTAGAGATGACACTGGTTCAGTAGTAAATATTTCTTGAATATTCACCTCTAGTGGTTGGGTACCTCTGGGCTCTTGGAGGACAATCGGGAAGATCAAGCCTTAAAATTTTGATTCTTCTTCAGGAGTAAAGACTACTATTACAGCTGACTTTTTGGTGAGGAATTTCATATAATGTAGGCCAGTGTTTTACAAACTTCACTGATCATAAGAACCAGTTGGGAGCACTTCATTTTTTGAAATGCAGATTCCCAGTTTCCATCCAGAATTATGGAATCAGAGTCTTGAAGGTAAAAGCCTGGGAATTTATATTTTTAGCAAGCACTCCAAGAAATTCTCTTAATAAAGCAAGTTTGGAATTATGGTTTTAGGCATTTGTTTATTGTCAACAACTTGTGATACTGCCAATATTTTGTGAAAGAGACTTTAATTTTGAAGTCTTAAGACCCAAGTGTCACTTTATTGTCATTCTATGAATGTAGAAAATCACCCTATTTCTGAGACAAAGGCAGAAAGATGCCTACAGCTCTAAAAGTTGCAGGTGCTCTGTTTAATAACCATTGTGTTCAGCCTTATCACATGATCCAATGGTTACATTTTAGTTGTCCTTTAAGAACAGGAGCTTTTAAAACTCTAGTGAAGAAGAATATTTGAAGCAATGCAGAAAGCTGTAGTATTATAAGCTGATTTCATAAAAAGCCTAAGCGGTAACATTTTAAGGTAGCACCACTTTGTGATTAGTGTGCTGTTTTAACATCTACAATGTAATGTTTTAACCCACAATGTAATTTTTAAAGAATTTGTGATATATAAAGTCCCCTTTAGCCCTAGCCAGGTAGCTCAGCTGACACACCAGAGCATCATTCTGACACACCAAGATTGCGGATCCTCTCCCCAGTAGGGCACACCTAAGAATCAACCAATGAATGCATAGAAAAGTGGAACAACAAGTCAATGTTTCTCTCTCTCTCAAATCAATAAATTTTAAAAAATGTTTTAAAGTCCTCTGCCTTTAGATCAGGGATTTGCAAAGCAAACTTTGAAGAAGCAGACAAAAGTGAATAATTTTCTTAACTTCCTAATTTTATATATTCAGCCAAAGTTTTTCTAATCGTCATCACAATGTGGTCAATATTCAAGGCTCACTTGTATTTCCAATTTTGTATGCACCCAGAGTCTGCAGAAAGGTTCCATTTTTTAATCTTTTTTTAAGATTTTATTTTTATTTTTAGAGAGGGGACGGGACAGAGGGAGAGAAACATCAATGTGTGGTTGCCCCTCACACACCCCCTACTGGAGACCTGGCCCACAACCCAGGCATGTGCCCTAGACTGGGAATAGAACCCACCACCCTTTGGTTTGCAGGCTGGTGCTCAATCCACTGAGCCACACCAGCCAGGGCTGAATAATCTTTAAACTGACAATATTCTTAAAAAGCTCCCTTTGCTAGATTGCTTCCCCTGTAACCAAGTATAATTTTGGCAGATTTTATATTAAGAAAGAACACAATAGGAGATTTTTATTAATTGTATACCAATAAGGCTTAGTCACTGAATAAATTCTGCCACTGTGTGTCATCTGTCACACATACTATAGATTAGTTAAAATATAGTTTTATAGCCTTGGTTGGTGTGGCTCAGTGGGTTGAGCACCTGCCTGCAAGCTGAAAGGACTCCAGCTCAGTTCCCAGTCAGGGTGTGTGCATAGGTTGTAGGCCTGGTCCCCAGGTAGGGGCATGCAAGAGGCAAGTGATCTATGTTTCTTTCACACATCAATGTTTCTTTCCCTCTCTTTCTCCTTCCCTTCCCCTCTCTAAAAATAAATAAATAAAATCTTTAAAAATTACATTTTTATTTATGTATAATAAATCTTGACCAAAAGCAGTTTTGATGTCTTATAATGTGTCACAATTTTATGTTCCAATAGCTGTTTTACCATACAAGAATGTATACTAACCTCAGTATAAGCCATATAGCATATGGAAACCAAGCTTCCAAACTTTCTTTTAAAGAGGGCCAATTGGTCATCCTTCAGGTCCTAAGTGAGGGCATTCTACAGGTTCCAGGCTACAGAGGCAAAGGCACGGACCCCATCCCAACTGCCCCTGCAAGCCCCAAGTACCATCAGACCCCTGCTCGTGGACTTGAGAGGGTGGGATGGTGCATAGAGAACCAGAAGCTCAGAAAGGTAGGTTGTAATGCCAATAATAGAAGAGCCTCTTATCTTGAGAAACAATGTATAGTCATTGTGTTTAACTTATGAGGGAAAGAAAGAGAAATAGGGATTGGTTAGATACCCACTGAAGAAAATGGAAATAGAAAACTCATAGTTCCTGGAACTGTTGTTCAGAATTCAGGCAGGGAGCCCTGACTGAGTAGCTCCATTATAGTGTTGACTTGATATGCCAAGGTTATGGGTTTGATCCCCAGTCAGAGCCGGGCACGTACAAGAATCAACCAATGACTACATAAGTAAATGGAACAGCAAATTTTCTCTCTCTCTCCCCACCTCCACTCCTCTCTCCCTCCCCCACACCCACACTCTCCCTCTTCTTCTCTAAAAAACAGTTTAAGAAAAAGATTTCTTTAAAAAAAAGTTCAGGCAGGAAGTTGATTATGAACTCTTTTTTCATTACATTTTATGTATTATGCTACTACAGTTGTCCTAATTTTTCCCCCTTTTCTCCTCTCACCCAGCACCCCCACTTCCTCAGGCAATCCCCACACCATCATTCATGTCCATGGGTCATGTGCATAAGTTCTTTGGTTACTCCATTTCCTATACTGTAATTTACATCCCCATGGCAATTCTGTAAACTACCTATATGTTTGTTTGTTTGTTTGTTTGTTTGTTTGTTTGTAGAGAGAGGGGAAAGGAGGGAGAGGGAGAAACATCAATGTATGAGAGATACATCAATCGGCCTGCAACCCAGGCATGTGCCCTGACCGGGAACCAAACCAGTGACCCTCTGGTTTGCAAGCTAGTACTCAACCCACTGAGCTACACCAGCCAGGGCCCTATTTGTACTTCTTAATCCCCTCACATCTTCACCCATTCCCCCACACCTCCCTCCCATCAGGCAACCATCAAAATGCTCACCATATCCATGATTCTGTCTCTTGTTTGCTTAGTATGTTTTTTAGACTAATTGTTGGTACATAAGTATTTATTGTCATTTTATTGATCGTAGTTTTGATCATCTTTTTCTTATATAAGTCCCTTTAACATTTCATGTAATATGGTTTGGCGATGATGAACTCCTTTAGTTCTCTCTTGTCTGGGAAGCACTTTATCTGCCCTTCAATTCTAAATGATAGCTTTGCTGGGTAGAGCAGTCTTGGCTGTAGGTCCCTGCTTTCCATGACTTGGGATATTTCTTGCCAATCCCTTCTAGCCCACAAAGTTTCTTTTGAGAAATCAATCAGCTGACAGACAGGCTTATGGGAACTACTCTGCAGGGGCTACTGCTTTTCTCTTGCTGCTTTTAAGATTCTCTATTTATCTTTAACCTTTGGCATTTTAATTATGATATATCTTGGAGTGGGGCTTTTGCATCCATCTTGTTTGGGACTCTGTGCTTCCTGACTTGCATATCTATTTCCTTCTCCAAAATAGGGAAGTTTTCATTATTTTTTCAAATAGATTTCCAATTTCTTGACTTTTTCTTCTCCTTCTGACACCCCTGTGCTGTGAATGTTAGAATGCGTGAAGTCCCAGAGGCTGTTTACAGTAACTATCCTAATTTTTAAATTCGTTTTTCTTGTTCTGATTGGTGTTTTCTGCTTTTTTATGTTACAAATCATTGTTTTGATTCTCAGCTTCATACACTCCACTGTTGTTTCACTGTAATTTGTTTTTTATTTCAATTAGTGTATCCTTTGTTTCTGAGTGGGACTTCTTTATGCTGTTGAGGTCCTCACTAAGTTCCTTGAGCATACTTATGACCAGTGTTTTAAACTCTGCATGTGATAGATAGCTCATATCCATTTCATTTAGCTCTTTTTCTGGAGTTTTATTCTGTTCTTCCATTTGGGCCACATTTCTTTTTCTCATTTTGGCAGCATCCCTGTGTTTGTTTCTATGTATTAGGTAGAGCTGCTATGACTCTCTCTCTGGTAGTGTGGCCTAATGTAGTAGGTGTCTTATAGGGTCTAGTGGCACAGCCTCCCCTATCACTCAAGCTGGGTACTCGAGATACACCCTTTGTGTGGGCTGTGTGAGGTGTACCCCCCTCTCGTTTTTGAGCCTTGATTACTGTTGGCAGGTCAATGGGAGGGATTTACCCGTGGGAGGGATTTACCCAGGCCGGTCAGCTGCAAGTACCAGCAGGGACCACTGACTACCAACCTCCACCCTCCATGGAAGATCAGCTGTGTAGGGGCAGGGTGATGGTGCTCTGATGTGGTCTATAGCTGTGTACTGGTACATAGGCTCTGAGATTTTCTGGGTGGTACAGGCCAAGGTCAGCCCCACCTGTGTTCTGCCCAGAGCCACCCTGCCTGAGCTATAAAGTAATCTGAGGTGGCTGCTACTTGTGGTGGGCTTGGAGATTCCCAGGCAAAGACAAGCAATAAACCTAGGCTGTCTGCTTCTACTGCAGGGCCTGGGGACACTTAGCAAGAGGTACAGGGGCTGGAGGCTCACTGAGACTGGCTGTTGCTTGTTTGAGAGGATTTAAGATGTGAAGCATGAGCCAAGACCAGCCATTCATATGGAAAAGCAGCTTGGGTGGGCACATAAGTTGGGCAAGGCATAGTGTCTGGGGATCTAGAGGGCTGGGTAAACAGTGTTAGTGAGATTGATGGAGTCTTGAATATGGTGCCAGACTGCTGGCTCTGTGGCTCTGTGCAGGGAGGTTTCCAAACAGGGTCAATCACCTTTGCTCACCTTTCTTTCTGGGAGAAAGCTGTCCCCCAGCTCTCACCTTGATGCCTGACACTTCACTTCCTCCCCATTTGCCATTGGTACCTTTCGAGCCTCTACCTAGGTGCTGGAGCTCATTAAATAGTGAGTCTGAAGAGTCCATGTGTGGGTTCTTTAAGAGGAACTTTTTGAGGCTCCAGAAGTTTCTTCCACTGACGCAATCCCTGCTGGTTTTTGTAGCCAGAAGTTTTGGGGACTTATCTGGCACTGCTACCCTGGACTGGGGCTGGTACTCTTTGCTCTCAAGATATCCTTCCCGAGTTTTTATCCACAACATAAGTGTAGGATCAGCCCGTCGGGTGTTTCCACTCCTCCTTCCACGTCTCTTTCCCTCCTACCAGTCTGGATGGATGTGGTTTCTTTAACGCAATAGTTGTCAGACTTCCATTCAGCTTGATTTCTGATGGTTCTGAGTGTTGGTTGTTCTATATTTTAGTTGTAATTTGGATATGGTTGTGTGAGAAAGTGAGCCATGTTTGCCTATGCTGCCATCTTGGACCGAAGCCTTGACTTTCTTCTTTTGATGGTTACTCTTACTCTGGGTAATCTTGCAAATTAAATATTAAATTTCCTCCTTGGGATCTTTGTGAGTATTAAGATTTCCTCAAGTTTGTCTTCCCCACTTCATTTTACTTCATTCCCCGTTTCCTTCCAAAATAACAATTTAGAGTTGCTTTCTCCAAAAGTGCCCAAATTTTATAGTTGAACCTACTGGATAGTTTATGCAGAGGTCTTAGGATCTCCTTAGTAATAGTTAAAATAGATATATATCAGATAAAATTTATACTCAAACCTCAAGCAGAGAAATAGAATATGGTCATAGAAATGGTGACTGAGTTTGCATGAGTAGGAGCAGAAGGTGGTTCTCAAGGCCCTTCCGGGGAGTTCTGCTTTTTCTCCAGTAATGTGGTGCCGGGTGGCAGGGTATTGGTTAGAGTCCTAGGAGCGAACTGGGCATAGGTACACTAAATTTTTCTTTATATGGGCCTTTCTTTGCCTACCCTACCCTACCTCAGGAGAAGAAGAAGACCTCTCAGCTGACACCTCAACAGGGCTTTAGTGAAAATGATGATGATGAGGATGATGACTCATCTGAAACTGATTCCGATGAAGAAGATGATGATGAAGAGCATGGAGCCCCTCTGGAAGGGTGAGAAAACCACCTTTGTCAAGGAGGAAAACACCCTTTTCAAAACATAGATTAGGAGGATATCAGTTAAAAGTGAAATTCCAGCATCTCTGTTGATGTCTGTTTAGGATTTTCACATCTCAAAAACCCACTATAATGCATTTTCATTCTTTTCTGGCTCCACTGCCTCATTGAGTACCATGATGTTACTTGCACTATTTGAAACATTTGTGGGCTTAGGGTTCATGAGGCTGAATAAATCTAAAAGATGGTCCCTGACTTCAGGGAGTTCATATTTTGGGGAAAAGAAAATAAATTTATGTACATACCAAAGCATTTCTATTTGGCAAGGAAAACATACAGGTGGAGGAGTAGAAAACTTTAAGTTCAAATTCTTTTTGGACAGGCGGAGAATAGGTAGATCAACACTGAGACAAAGTGTTCCTAAATGATGCTTAAGTTAAAAACCTCTTACCCTGTTCCAAACCCTGGTGTTAGATTAGTTATGATCTACCCCTATAGGTTTTAATCAAAGTGGATTCTAAGGCCCATCCATTTAAAATGTAATTACTGGGCCCTGGCTGGTGTGTCTCAGTGTATTGAGTGCCAACCTGTGAACCAAAGGGTCACTGGTTTGATTCCCAGTCAGGGCACATACCTGGGTTGCAGGCCAAGGTTCCCAGTAGGAGGTGTGTGAGAGGAAACCACACACTGACCTTTCTCTCTTTCTCCCTCCCTTTCCCTCTCTCTAAAAATAAATAAATAAAATCTTTTACAAAATAATAAAATGTAATCACTGGTTAAATAAATGATGGTGTAACGAATCAGTAGAATTCTATCCAGCCATGGAAAAGAATGTGGCATCACCCTTTGCACTGGTAAAGAATAATGTCCAAGAGATGCTGCTAGATTTTTAAAATGTATAGAAGTGTTTATGTTTTGCTACCATGTGTATAAAACAAATACTACATAAACTATCTGTAGGATTCACTAAGAAACTAGTAATAGTGATTACTTTTGGGAGGGGAACTTGGTGGCAACGGAGACATAACTTTTCATTGCACCTTTTATTTTGCATCCTGTGCATGTATAATTTATTAAATTAGTTGAAAAAAAAATAGCTACCTTTGGGTTACCCACTTGCAGGAAGACCTTAAGTAAATGAGGAAAGTTAATACCAGACTGATTTTTCATGCTTCCCAATTTACTTTATGATCATAAATTATAATCAGGGAAATGTAAACCTTAAGTCATTAATCTACTTAATTTTTTATTAAGCAACTCTCTCCAGAACAGCCTTATGAATAACATCCAAAGTCACTTATATATTTTATCAATGTTTATTACATTTTACTTAATTATAATTAATGTGTTGTATTTTTTAAAGATTTTATTTATTTATTTTTAGAGAGAGGGGAAGGGAAGGAGCAAGAGAAGGAGAGAAACAATGTGTGGTTGCCTCCCGAACACCCCCTGCTGGGGACCTGGTCCTCAACCCAGGCATGTGCCCTGACTGGGAATCAAACTGGTGACCCTTTGGTTCACAGGCCCACTCTTAGTCCACTGAGCTACACCAGCCAGGGCTGTATGTATGTATGTATGTATGTATATATGTATTACTGTACACATTTCATGTGTCAATACAAGTATTTTTTAGTAACTATGCAGTAGTGAACTTGAACATACCTAACCATTACTCAAATGTTGGATATTTTATTTGTTTCTAATTTTTTAATTTTATGAAAAACACTGTGAAAAACATCTTTGTAAAAATTCCTTTTTGTCTTGGGGCAAGCTATTTGCATACTAGAAATTAATATCTTATTCCATCTTTTCTCTTATCCCTTTTATTCAAAAAAAGGGAAAACAATTTCTGCTAGTGTGAAACTTTTAAAAATTATGTTGGATTTTCTGCAACTGTATTCTTCTTTACTGTCAGAGATAACTGAGAACTAATTTTAATCAATTTTATTTTATTTTATTTTTAAGATTTTATTTATTTTTAGACAGAAGGGAAGGGAAGGAGAATGAGAGGGAGAGAAACATCAATGTATGGTTGCCTCTTGCACTCCCCACACTGGGAACCTGGCTTGCAACCCAAACATGTGCCCTGACTGGGAATCGAGCCAGCAGCCCTCCGCTTCACAGTCCAGTGCTCAATCCACTGAGCCACACCAGCCAGGGCAATTTTAATCAATTTTAAAGTTGCCTTGCAGACCACCCAAGAAAGGCAGATGTGGAGCAGAAACTAGATTCAGAGTCATGTGCTCTGTAGTAGTGGTGACATAGGCCGAACCAGGGCTCAGCAACATCTGCTCTTCACTGGCTACCTTGAATCATATTTTGCTTTCCCCAGAGCCTATGATCCTGCAGATTATGAGCATTTGCCAGTTTCTGCTGAGGTTAAGGAACTCTTCCAATATATAAGTAGGTAAGTATTAGGACTTCTTAACCTAACCCTCCAGGCCCTACCTTGCCCTTTCCTACCTCTAGTCTGAAATAAGGCCATTCTCCTTAGATTTTTAAACCTGATAGTAAAGTGAGTTTCTCTGTTCCCATCTTCCCTTGGCAATATCTCCTAGGTATACACCTCAGTTGATTGACCTGGACCACAAACTGAAACCTTTCATTCCTGATTTTATCCCAGCTGTTGGGGATATTGATGCATTCTTAAAGGTACAGTCAGAATATCCTAAAAATGAGTCAATAGATGTTTCTTTTGACCTCTCTATTACTCTACCAGTTCTTCTTTTTTTTATATACTCTTTTTTTTTTTTAGGATTTTATTTATTTATTTTTAGAGAAGGAAGGGAGGGAGAAAGAGAGAGAGAAACATCAATGTGTGGTTGCTGGGGGTCATGGCCTACAACCCAGGCATGTACCGTTACTGGGAATCGAACCAGCAACACTTTGGTTCACAGCCCGCGCTCAATCCACTGAGCTACGGCAGCCAGGGCTCTACCAGTTCTTCTAATTTTCTTGACAAGGATTGGCTACCTTGAAACATATTTTTCATTTCATTAGACTTCTCTTTTTAAAATGTAATTTAATTTTCTAAAGTTTCTTCACATTATTTATTGTATTTTTTTCTCATTAGAGTTCTTAAACTTGCTCTCTACTCCATATTTTATTCATTGCTATTAGGTAATACTTAATCATCTCATTATATGCTAAAAATCTGTCATAGATCTGTCACCTAATTATCCATGACTTCAGCTTTATATTTAAGATCATGCATGTTTTTCTAGATAGAATTTTAGTACAGCATGTTATACAGGCATGCTGTTTTTCTTTTTTTAAATCCTCACCCAAGGATATGTTTATTGATTTTATGTTATGTTATTTTATTTTTTAAAGGTCAATTAATTATTTATTTTTAGAGAGAGGGGAAGGGAGAGAGAAAGAGGAAAAGAAACATCAGTGTGTGGTTGCCCCTCACATGCCCCCTACTGGGTACCTGGCCTGAAACCCAGGCATGTGCCCTGACTGGGAATCGAACCAGTGACCCTGGGTTCATAGGTCGGTACTTAATCCACTGAGCCACACCAGACAGCGCATATTTATTGATTTTAGAGAGAGAGGAAGACGGGGAGAGTGAGAGAAACATCGATCGGCTGCCTCCTGTACGCACTCCAACCAGGGATCAAACCCACAACCTAGATATGTGCTGTGACCAGGAATAGAACTCACAACATTTTGGTGTATGGGATGATGCTCCAAGCAACTGAGCCACCTGACCAGGGCCAGGCATGCTCTTTAATACTAGTAATAGTGATGAACCAGATGAGTTCTTCCTCTTCAGCTTATTGGAATCAAGATGTGCGGCCTTTTTATATTCTTCTCATGTTTTTTCTCTGTTTTCTCACTTTTCTCCTAACCAGGTCCCACGTCCTGATGGAAAGCCTGACAACCTTGGCCTATTGGTACTAGACGAGCCTTCTACAAAGCAGTCAGACCCTACAGTGCTCTCACTCTGGTTAACAGAGAACTCTAAGCAACACAATATCACGGTAAGACACTAGCCCAGTACGGGCCCCAGCTGGAGAAGCTGGAGCACAAGCCTTGCTGGTGTTTGTTTAGTTGACTAACTTCCTGCTGACAGGGATGGTTGTGGCTTCAGGACAGCCCTATCTTTTATATAACAGTTTTATTGAGATATAATTTACCTACCATAAAATTCACCTTTTTAAATCATAAAATTCAGGGATTTTTGGTATATTCACAGAATATACTAACAATATTCATCATCATCTAAGAATATTATTTTTTTATATTTCCAAAAAGAAATCCTGTACCCATTAGTAGTTACTTCTCATTCTCCCCTGCTCCCAGACCCTGGTAACTACTTCATTTTTTTAATGATTGAATAATATTCCATTGTATGCACATATCACATTCTGTTTATCCATTCACCATTTTCCACTTTTATTAATTATGCTGCCATGAATATGTACATGTTTTTGCATGGACATATATTATTATTCTTTTGGATATATATGTAGGAGTGGGGTTACTGGGCCATATGATAACTATTGAGTATTTTGAGGAACTGTCAAAGTGTTTTCCAAAGTGACTGAACCATTTTACATTCCCACCAGTAATGAATGAATGTTTCAATTTCTCCACATCTTCATCAGCACTTCTTACTCTCTTTTATTTTAGCCATCCCAATAGATGTGAAATGGTACCTTATTATAGTCAGTTCTTTCTTATTGATCTGCCCCTTTCCCATGGTGCTAGAAAATTTTATCAGGGTTTCCTATAATCTCTATGTGGCTGCTGTCAGTCTCCTCTTTTTATCAGCTATTTTGTGTGTGAAATAGCACTTGATGAGTCATGCTATAAAAACAGTACCACTTAAGTGCCATCAGTCAGCCTTCCCCTTGTTTTTCTAGCAACACATGAAAGTAAAGAGCCTGGAAGATGCAGAAAAGAATCCCAAGGCCATTGATACATGGATTGAGAGCATCTCTGAGTTACATCGTTCTAAACCCCCTGCAACTGTCCATTATACTAGGTAAGAAATACCACATTCTTCACCACTGTAACCCATAGTAACTTTCACCACCTGTGAACCCATTGCTTCTGAGAAGAGGGCCCAAAGCCTCAGGACATCATTGATCAGCCTGAGGTCACAGGGATCCTGGCAACTACTGGCTGAGATTGCAGACATAAAGGTTGTGATTTATCTGGTATTGTTACTTAGCCAGCTCTTCTAAACTCCAGGCCCTGGGTAAGTTTGGTTTGCCCCTCTGTGTTCACCTGAAATCCCAATGTGCCAGATTCAGAACCTCCCTTCATCCTGATCCAAAGGTTGCTGGTGTCACTTGTCCATGTTTCTTGTTTATATTTACCTTTGTACTTTTAGGCCAATGCCTGATATTGACACGCTGATGCAGGAATGGTCCCCAGAGTTTGAAGAGCTTTTGGGCAAGGTGAGTGAAATGTAGCAGGATCTAAAAAAGTATGGCATTCAGTCTAGGACCCAGTGTTTTCTCTTCTCCTGTATTGTCATTATTAACTTATTAGTTGATGTATCGTACACAATCGGAAATGTACATGTTGATTAATTTTCACCATCTGAACACCTCAGTGTAAATCAATACATTAGATAAAAAAACAGAACATTACTCCCATGTCCCCAAATAACCATTATCCTGATTTATAATAGTGTAGATTAGGTTTGCCTATTTTGCATTTTATCTAAATGTAATTGAACTCTTTTGTGTCACATTTGTTTTGCTCATCTATATTATTCATTCATATGGAGATTCATCCATATTGTTTCATACATTGTTGTACATTTTTCTCAGTATCGTACAATATTGTCTTGTTTGAATATGTGACAATTTATCTATTCTATGGTAGCCATTTGGGTAGTTTACAGTTTTGAGTTATCACAAATACAATATTACTACAATATTACAATAATATTTCTGTGAACATTGTAACATGTACCTTTTAGTGAACATGTATATATGCTTCCTGCATTATTACTTTAGACTCTACCTTTTTCCACAGAGTTATTTATGCTGTTCTAAGAAGCTGATGCCCTATTCATAATTACCCCAAATTTAAAAAATACAGGAATAAATTTAATAAGAATTGGTAAGATTTTTTTCTAAAAAATTATAAAATTTTAATGAAGGGCAGACACAGATTTGAATGAATGAGGAGTCATGCCATGTTCCTAAACAGGAAGATTCAATCTTGTAGCACTATCAGTTTACTCTATAAGTGTACTGCCTTTCAATTAGGATTTTAATTGCTTTTTTTAGAAAATTAAAATTGGTAATAAAGTTTATCTGAGAGAATCGGTTTTTAAGACTAAAACTAATCATAGATATTTTAGGAAAAAATAATGGAGGATTTACCCCATCAGACATTAGAAACACATTTTAGCCCTGGCCAGGTAGCTTAGTTGGTTAGAGCTTTGTCCCCAAATACCAAGGTTGTGAGTTCCATCCCTGGTTAGGACACATATAAAAATCAACCAGTGAATGCACAGATGGGTGGAATAATAAATCATTGTGTTTTTTCTCTCTCTCTCAAATCAATAATAAAAAGAAGAAAAGAAACACATTATAAAGCTATAGTAAATAAAACATTGGCATAGGAATAGAAATAGATGAGTGGAACATAAGAATCCCGAAACAGCCCTGGCTGGTGTGGCTCAGTTGATTGAGGTCTGGTCTGCGAACCAAAGGATCCCTGGTTTATTCCCAGTCCGGGCACATGCCTGGGTTGTGGGCCAGGCCTTGAGCTGGGTGCGCACAAGAGGCAACCACACATTAATGTTTCTTTCTCTCTTTCTCCCTCTCTCCTCCTCTCTTTAAAAATAAATAAAAATCTTAGAAAAGGAATCCAAAAACAAACCCATGGTGTGTAAGAAAGGTAGTATTTTATTTTATTTTTTTCGAAGATTCTTTTTTTAAAAGATATTATTTATTTATTTTTAGAGAGAGAGGGCGAGTGAGAGAAAAAGAGAGGGAGAGAAACAATGATATATCAATAGGTTGCCTCTTGCAAGCCCCCAACCAGGAACCTGGCCTACAACCCAGACATGTGCCCTAACTGGGAATCAAACCAGCAACTTCTTGGTTCACAGGCCAGCACTCAATCTACTGAGCCACATCAGCCAGGGCATTTTAAATGGAGATACACTGGGTTGTGATGAGACAACTGACTAGCCATTTGAAAAAATTTGGTTTATGCTCCAAACATGTGCATACATGAATTCCAAATGAATTAAGCAATTAATGTAAAAATAAAGTCATACTAGTACTATTTTAAAAAGTGAGACAAATATTTAATACTGTTAGGGTAGGTAAGTGTTTCTTAGCATAATAAGAAACTTAAAAATTATAATGGGAAAAGTGTGATAGTTACCATAAACAAAGTTAAAACAATAATAGACTGAGAAAAATTATATATATATGTAACAACACTACTAATACAAGCAAAGAGCTATTACATGTGAAAAAAAGAAAACTGGCCCTGGCTGGTATATGGTATAGCACAGTAAATTGAGCACAGGCCTATGAAGCAAGGGGTCACCAGTTCGATTCCTGGTCTAGGGCACAAGTCTGGGGTGCGGGCCAGGTCCCCAGTAAGGGGTGTGTGAGATGCAACCACACATTGATGTTTCTCTCCCTCTCTCCTTCCTTTCCCCTCTGTCTAAAAATAAATAAAATCTTAAAAAAAAAAGAAAAGAAAACTGAACAAAGAAGATTGATAAGTCTTTCCTGGCCATCATTTTAAAACTGTTACACCAACTCCCCCATGTTCCCCACCCTCTTTTACTCCTCTTATAATATATACCTTCTAATATACTATATATTTTACTTATTTTGTTTTTTGTTTCTCCCAACTAAAATATAAGCTCTATGAAAAGGGAGGTTTTCTTTTTTTGTACATGTTTATTGAGGAATCGTAAAAGCAAAGAATTTAAGGATAATCTCTTTTTGCCTTACAGAATTTTAAAGCTGTAGCTGAGGAAAAATGTCTAGTGAGGGAATTGAATAGGAATACAATGGAATATTATTTGGCCTTATTTTGCTCTGCTATGAAGAGATATTAATGACATGTTGTTAAGTGAAAAAAGGAAATTGCAGAATTATATGCACTCTGATTTTTATAAAAAGAGAAAAATTTTTAAGAAGCTAATTTTTTTAAAAAAGTATTTTTATTGATTATGCTATTACAGTTTTCCCAATTTTTCCCCCTTTATCCTCCCTCCACCCTGCCCTCCCAACCCTCCAGCATTCCCCACCCCCTTAGTTCATGTCCACAGGTTGTACATATAAGTTCTTTTGAGTCCCCTGTTTCCTATACCATTTTTTACCTTTCCCCATCTATTTAATGCCTACTAATTCTGCTTCTTCCCTGTACCTTTTCCCCCCATTCCTCCATACCCTCTCCCCACTGAACTACCTCTATGTGATGTCCATTTCTCTGATTCTGTTCCTGTTCTGGCTATTTGCTTAATTTTTGTTTTTGTTGTTTTTCTTTTCATTTAGGTTCATTTGTTGATAGTTACGAGTTTGTCATCATTTTATTGTTCATATTTTTAATCTTCTTTTTGTTAGATAAGTCCCTTAATGCTTCATATAGTAAGGGCTTGGTGATGATGAACTCCTTTAACTTGACCTTACCTGGGAAGCACTTTATCTGCCCTTCCATTCTAAATGAAAGCTTTGCTGGATAGAGTCATCTTGGATGTAGGTCCTTGCCTTTCATGACTTCAAATACTTCTTTCCAGCCCCTTTTTGCATGCAAGGTTTCTTTTGAGAAATCAGCTGATAGCCTTATGGGAACTCCTTTGTAGGTAACAGTCTCCTTTTCTCTTGCTGCTTTTAGGATTTTCTCTTTGTCTGTAATCTTGGGTAACTTAATGATGATGTGCCTTGGTGTGTTCCTTTTTGAGTCCAACTTCTTTGGGACTTCCTGGAAGTCTACTTCCTTCGCCAGATTGGGGAAGTTTTCCTTCATTATTTGTTCAAATAAGTTTTCAATTTCTTGCTGTTGTTTTTCTTCTTCTGGCACCCCTGTAATTCAGATATTGGAATGTTTCAGGTTGTCCCAGAGGTTCAAAAGTCTCTTCATTATTTTGTATTTTTGTTTCTTCATTCTGATCCAGTTGGATGTTTATTTCTTCCTTTTGTTCCAAATTGTTGCTTTGAATCCTGGTTTCCTTCTTGTCAGTGTTGGTTTCCTGAATATTTTGCTTTATTTCAATTTGGGTATTTTTCATTTGGTTTTTCATTTTTTTGACCAAGCTCAATCAGATCTATGAGCATTTTGATTACCAGAGCTTTAAATTCTCCATCAGTTAGGTTGGCAATGTCCTCATCACTTAGTTCTGAGGTTTTGCTGTGTTCTTTCATTTGGGCCATATTTCATTGTCTTGGCACACCTGATAAGTTGTAAGGGACAGGGCCTTAGGTGTTCACCCAGTCAGGGCAACCCTCTTTGCTGTGCTGCCTGTAGGGGAGGGGCCAGAGAGAGAGCAATGCAGCTCTCCTGCTCGTCTCTAGTGCACTTTCCAACAGACTCTTGAGTCAGACTGGAAGTGTCTCCCACTGTGGCAATCCCAGCCGGAGCTGACAGTCAGCTTTGAGTCTCAGTTTCCCCCTTAAGTCAGTCCCTCCCTGCACAAGTCCGCCTAGCTCGGCAGTCAGCCCCGCCCCTCAGCCGCATTGCCAAGGTTTTTCTGCCTTACCCCTCGTCTGGTTGATTTTTTCTTTATTTTCTTGGTTGTCGGAGTTCCATGCAGTTTGATTTTGCTGGTGCTTCTGGTTGTTTATTGATTTTAGATTGGTTGTTATCCTCCTTTTGGTTATGAGAGGAGGCGAAGGGTTTCTACTTACTCCTCCATCTTGGCCAGAACGCTAATGGTTTTTAAACTTATGCTAAACTTGTTTAGACCCGGACCCTGTTACCTGAGATGTCATGTCCAGTTCTTTGATGTACAAGGACCATTAGGCATTTTGCAAAAAAATATTTATTTATTTTGTAGAGAGAAGGGAAGGGAGGGAAAAAGTGGGAGAGAGACATTGATCGGTTGTCTCCTGTATACTCTCCAACCAAGGACTGAACCCACAACCCAGGCATGTTGCCTGGAATCAAACTGGCAACTTTTCACTTTGCAGGGCAATGTCCAACCAGCTGAGTCACACTGATCAAGGCAGGACTATTAAGCCTATTAATACCAAGTAGTTATCAATATTTGGATATAAACTAGTACCAATTTCTTCTTTACAAATACACACAGGAAGATAGGACAGCAGTATATTTTACTTAGAAAATTTTTTGGTTCTGTTAGATCATCTGCTACTTTGGTGGTTAATACATATGACCAATTCCATTTTAATAATCAGAGAAAAAAAAGCATGTTGTATTATTTGCTAGGGCTGCCATAACAAAGTACCACAGACAGGGTGGCTTAAACAACAGAAGTTTATTTTATTTTTCTCACACTTCTGGAGGCTTGAAGTCTGACACCAGGTTGTCAGCAGAGTTGATTTTTTTTTCCTCAGAAACTTTCTTATTGGCAATCATCTCCCTGTGTCTTCAATGGTCTTCCCTCTGTATGTATCCATGTCTTAATTTCCTCTTCTTATAAGGATACCAGTCATACTGGATCCACTCTAGTAACCAGTTTTTAATTTAATTTTCTCCTTTAAGAGTGTATGTTGAATACAGTCATGTTCTGAAGTGCTAAGGCTTAGGACTTCAACATATGGATTTTGGGGGAACACCACTCAGCCCATAATATGTACGACTTTTGCTAGGAGCTCTTTTTCCTTCGGAGAGACCTTGGTACATCTCTTGTGCTTCCTAGGTGAGCCTGCCTACGGCAGAGATTGATTGCAGCCTGGCAGAGTACATTGACATGATCTGTGGTAAGCTCTTCCATCCTTTCCTTGTCCCCATCTCTGGATAAACCCACTGTGGGCTTTTGAAAAGGATTGTTTACTCTGAGAAGATGGTGTTCTGAGTTACAGCCTTCACTATAAGCCACTTGTGCTGTTGGCAGCCCTGAAGGGAGGTGTTGGGCTTATGCAACTACCTGCTGGGTATTGAACTCCCAAAGCCATGGTAACATAGCCCATCTGGGAGGGGATTGGCTAACTTAAACAGAAATGACCCGTAAGTCCTAGGTTTTTGTTTGGTTCTGCTCATGGGAGTACTTGATTTCAGCCATCCTAGACATTCCTATCTACAAGAGTCGGATTCAGTCTCTCCACCTGCTCTTTTCCCTTTACTCGGAATTCAAAAACTCACAGGTAAGTCTAGCATTAGAGATTGACTTAAATTGCAATGAGGATTGCTGCAGTCTCCACTATTCTGAGTCAGCTGTGATTGTGTTTTATGACAATGTAAGATGTTTCTGCCCAGAATTACCATTACCTTTCTCCGTAATTAAGAGAGCTGCAAAGCAGGCAGGGGTGGGACTTTTAGAGGAAAGGAGGTGGAGGAGATGAGCTTAGGTAAGGATCTATAGAAGACACTCATTCTTATGGGAGAACTAAGTGGTCTAATGAATGAAAGCAGGAAGGAAGGGGAACGGGGTTTATTATTGTAGGAGGTAGAGCAAATTTCTAGCTGTTTTTCAAAGATAATACCAAAGAATTGTTTTGAAAGTAGAATTGGGAGAAAATCGGAGCTTAAAGTGCTGTAAAGACATTAGTTCTTGCTAAAATGTAGCAACTAGCATAACCCAAATATTCCATGTTCCCTTTCCTCTTTCCTCACAGCATTTTAAAGCTCTAGCTGAAGGCAAGAAAGCATTCACCCCTTCATCCAACTCTACCTCCCAAGCTGGAGATGCAGAGACATTAACCTTTGGCTGAGACACATCCCCCAACACTTTGTTTCAAGGCTGAGCTGGCTTTTCTGCCCCAGCTGAAGAGAGATTGTCGTCAGCCACCTGGCATCCTGCCAGCGTCACAGTTTGACTCGGACAGTATTTGTCCTACCACCTTTTCTTCCAGAAAGCACTACGCATGTTCGTTAAATGGCTTCTGCCTGTCTCAAGATTTCCTTTCTGTAGGAATGTTGCATCTCTACCACTATGGCAATTTGAGTTAGATGAATTGAAATTTCTGGGATCTCAGGATGCTCAGTTAGGAGAAAAGTTGAAAAGACTTTTTTTTTTTACAGCAATGGAACTAATTTGCTTTCATTTTTGAGTTAGTTGGCAAAGATTTTACAAATAAAATCCTCTTATCTTTCAGGCTGTCCTGCTGTTCTATAACATGAAAGAGAAAAGGCAGACTGAGCAAGAGGCAGAGATAAGGAACTTGGCCTATTAATAAGCGTTAAGTGAATAACAGTTTAAGCAAATTAACTTTATGAAATAAAATCAAATACCAGCCTCCAAGATTGGCAGTAGAGGGGAATCCTTTTCCCCCAGAACTTATTTTTTCAGGGGGCCTCACTAGTTATGCTGCCTGCCTCACAGGCACCTGCCTGGTTGTGGTCTCAGGGAGCCTAGCTGTTGCAGTGATCCAGGTGAGAGATCATTGTGCCTTGGATTAGAGTGGGCATTGTGGTAGTAGCAAAGATGGATACATTTGGGAAATATTTTGGAGTTTATATCCTCTGCTCCAGTCAAAAAGTGAAAAACCATGCTAGTTAACTTCCTAACAAAGAGTGTTAAATGTGGGAAATTGGTTACAAAAGTATTGGAAGGGCTGAAGAAACAAAAGGGAGAATACAGGGTACTGAAGGAATGAAAAGCTAAAGGGGTGGGATGCACTGCAGGTGCTAGAAGTGGAAGACGTGCCGTAGTGGTCTTGAATGGCAAGGAGGTGCCATGTGGAGGCACGGCTGGTGCGTGGACCTCGTCTCCACTTCTACAGCAACTGAGAGCAATGGCTGCTGTTTCCTCTCTCCCAGCCTTCTCGTTTCTTGCTGGTGCCTCCTCCCATTGGCAGAAATTAACAGCTGGCAGGGAAATCTGGAACATCCAGCAGTATAAAGCAGGGTATAGAAGGGAGAGTGTGGGGCTAAGAGACAATGAATTAATAACCAGTAGAGGTAGAACAAAACTTGGTGATAGATTGGATGCAGGGGATGAAGGAAAGAAATCAAGGATGACTCCCAGGTCTTGGGTCTTGAGGAACTGAATAGATAGTGGAACCAAGTACTAATATAGTGGAAAGTGGGGCAAGAATTGATTGGAGAGGAAAATTACATTAAAATGCTACACTGTCAGCATAGGGGAATCATTTCTTAGACTCTTAAACCAACTATGATGTTCACATTAAGCTTGAATTTGCGGAGCAGAAACATTTGAGCTAAGGCCTTACTTTAACACCATATTGGGACCAGGTGCTATGTTCTCGAATGGATTTCATTATTGCTCACATTGAACCCATAGGGATAAAAGAGAAGCAAAATATGATAGGAACTCATATTCTCCATTAGATTTTTTTAATTTCAGTGATTTTAATACTTTGCAGAACATTAACCAGTTTTGTATCTAATCTAGCAATCTTAAACTAAAATTTCTTTAATTGCTTATAAATGCTTAGCAATTTGAATGCTCTCTGAACCAATTTTTAATATGTGGCTGGTTTCCTCACTAATTGGTTGAGTAATCAGTGAGGAACTCTCTGACACATATTCATTATGCACGTATGTGAGAGTTGTAACAGATTTTTTTAAAGTGCATGGATATTTGCTCTTGTTCTCCCTACTCTGTTAGATTTTTAAGAAACAGATTAACTTCTTTGGCTAGAGCTGAGACTTAGCACTGATAAATTGATTCTTGTTATTCATGGTAGTTATATTCTATAAAGTCACCGTGAACACTGCATTAGCCAACACTGAATCATTGCTCCTAGGGCAAATACAAGGTTAGGCTCCTATATGCCTATGGTTATAACATTTTCATCAACCTACCACTGATTCATTGAATTCACAGCCACCAGCACTATAAATCATGCCATAGTGAAGCTTACCTAACACTTCTAAGGCACCTCAGAACTATGTTTGGGGGCCATTTTTAAACAGTAAAATCACCACCAATAAGCAAAATCATGGCATTAAATAGACCGTGAAAGGGGCACTTGTTTATACAGTGTGAGAGCTGAGACCAAAGGCAGTGTTGCTTTATTCAGCCTTTAATTTTCACTGCTTTGAGTGTGTTTACAAATGGTCATGAAAACACTGCAAACATTGATTTTGGGATTACAAATAAATTTTAGCAAGTATGTGAATTCACAAATACAAAATCTGCAAATAATGAGGATCAACCTTACTTCCTCCCTAACTTACTGGTTAATGCATGAGTCTTTTGGATTTCTCCCTACTTCAGCACACCCACCGTAGCTCTCCAGTGATCATCTTCAGGAACTGTTTTGGACAGGGACTCCTCCCTCCTCTTTAACAATCTGTAGCTACTCCCTTTGGCTACTTGTTTTTTGGCCCTGAGAAAAATCAGTTAACTTCTATGCCTCAAACTATATATGAATCAGTTATAATAAACACTAAACTCTTAGGCTTTTCCTGTGTGTAAAAAACGTGAAAACATTTAGTGCCACAAAATGTAAGATGTAATAATTACATTACTAAGTATAAACTTTCTTTCAAGTATATTTTATTGATTATGATATTACATTTTTCTCATTTTTTTCTCCCCTTTATTCCCCTCTGCCCTGCATCCCCCTATCCACCAACATCCCCGCCCCCCTCACTTAGTTCATGTCCATGGGTCGTACATATAAGTTCTTTGGCTTCTCCATTTCCTATACTATTCTTAACCTCCCTTGTCTATTTTGGACCTACCATTTATGCTTCTTATTCCCTGTATCTTTTCCCTCATTCTCCTCCTGCCCCCTCCCTACTGAAAACCATCCATGTGATCTCTATTTTTGTGAATGTGCTTGTGTTCTAGTTGTTTGCTTAGTTCATTTTTGTTTTTTCAGGTTCAGTTGTTGATAGCTGTTTGTTCTCATTTTACTGTTCATATTTTTAATCTTCTTTTTGTTAGATAACTCCCTTTAACATTTCACAGAATAAGGGCTTGATGAACTCCTTTAATATTACCTTATCTGGGAAGCACTTTATCTACCCTTGCACTCTAAATGATAGCTTTGCTGTATAGAGTAATCTTGGATGTAGGGCCCTGCTTTTCATGACTTTGAATACGAATTTCCAGCCCCTTCTTGCCTGCAAGGTTTCTTTTGAGAAATCAGCTGGTAATCTCACAGGCACTCCTTTGTAGGTAACTGTCTCCTTTTCTTTTGCTGCTTTTAAGATTCTCTCCTTGTCTTTAATCTTGGATAATGTAATTATGATGTGCCTTGGTGTGTTCCTCCTTGGGTCCAGCTTTTTTGGGACTCTGAGCTTCCTGGACTTCGTGGAAGTCTATTTCATTTGCCAGATTAGGGAGGTTCTCCTTCATTAACTTTTCAAATAAGTTTTCAATTTCTTGCTCTTCCTCTTTTTCTGGCACCACTATGATTTGTATGTTGGAATATTTGAAGTTGTCCCAGAAGTTCCTAAGCACCTCCTCATTTTTTTTGAATTCTTGTTTCTTCATTCTGTTCCGGTTGAATGTTTATTTCCTCCTTCTGCTCCAAACTGTTGATTTGACTCCCAGTTTCCTTACCTTCACTGTTGGTTCCCTGTATATTGTTCTTTATTTCAATTTGTATAGCCTTCAGTTTTTCCTCTATTTTGCAACCATACTCAACCATTTCTGTAAGCATCCTGATTACCAGTATTTTGAACTGTGCATCTGATAGGTGGGCTATCTCTTCATTCGCTTAGTTCTTCTTCTGGAGTTTTGATCTGTTCTTTCATTTGGGCCATATTTCTTTGTCTCAGCACACCTGTTATGTTGTAAGTGGTATAGCGTTAGGTATTTGCTAGGGCGGGACAAACCAGGTTGCTGTGTTGTAGTGCCGTATGTGGGAGATGGGTCAAAGAGGGAACAATCCTACTTGCTCAGTGCTCAACCAGCTTTCAGTCACTTCCCCCACTACCTACAAGCAAATTGGGCCCTTCTGGTGCTAGTTCCCAGGTGGGTGGGTTTGTGTACATTCTAGGACTCTGTGGGTCTCTCCAGTGAACTGCCCTGTGAGACTGGGAGTTTCTCCTGCTGTAGCAACTTCCACGGGTTTTTATAACCAGAGGTTTTGAGGCTTTATTTCCTAACACTGGAATCCTGGGTTGCGTGGTCGGTCTTGCTGCCCAGTTGTTTCTCCCTGCTTATTCACACACAAATGTGGGATCAACTGGTCCTCCAGTAGCCACTTTGCCATGTGTCCTCTCCACCCTAGCCACCCTTCTCCGCCTATCCTACCAGTCTGAATGAATGTTTTGTCTTTAACTCCTTGGTTGTCAGACTTCCATACAGTTTGATTTCCTAGCAGTTCTGGTTTGTTTGTTGTTTTTTAAAATTTGTTGTTGTCATTTACTAGTTGTGTGAGGATGCAAAGTATATCTGCCTATGCCTCCATCTTGGCCGGAAGTCTCTAAACTTTCAATTTGGCCTTTTAGACTTTCTTTTGAGCTGCTGTCTCCCTACCTTCAAGTCCTCATTTTTCATAATTCCCGCTGTGAGCTGCAAAACCAATGGGCTCACTGTACTGTGCCCTGGACTGATGAATTTCCTCCTCTAACTAAACCTTCATGCAGGCTCTTCCTTACTGGAAGTGTCCCCCTTCTCTGATAATCCTAGATTCACAACACTTCTAAATAAACAAATATCAATACAAGGATTTACATCTTCATTCCTTCCTTTAATATTATTTACTAAAATGACAATATAGGAATAAAAAATACAATAGCAAAGGCAAAAAGTAAGAAAGAAAATGATGGTAGGCAAGATAGCAACACAATCTTGGAAGATGGACAAGTGGTAACTGATTTAGTGGGACAAGGGTGCAAAGCCTGCAATTTGACTGCTGCTTGTGGATGAGATGGACTGAGAAACTGATAAGAAGTGAGCCATTTGACATTGCAGAACCCTGGAAAAGATGAGAAAATAAAAGTGCCAGATATTTCTGGGCTTAAAATGCCTGAACAAATATTGGATTCCTAGAAACTCCCCCATCTGCGCTGCTCATCTCTTACCTCAGGAGACAGTAGACACCTGTGATTCAAGGAGGCTCTCTGAACACAAGAATACCAAGCAACTATGAGGAAAGCAATAAAGAGGCCATATTTAAATTAGGGTAAAATAGAGAAATGAGCAGTGAGACTCTCAGAACTTTTCCAGGTTTATACCTCCAAAGCAGAATATTGGAAAAGTCTTAAAAAAAATTTTTTTTTCGAAAGAGGGGAAGGAAGGGAGAAAAAGAGAGAAACACTGATGTATGAGATAAATATCAATTGGTTGCCTCTTGCACATCCCGAGACAGGGAGCTGGCCTACAACTCAGCATGTACCCTGAGTGGGGACCTGTGGCCTTTCACTTTTCAGGATGATGCCTAATCTACTGAGCCACACTAGTTAGGGCTAGAAAAGTCTTGTCTTGAGAAACTGATCAGCCAAAAAGAAAAGATCTATGGACACTAACAGAGTCTTTAAGCAAATATCTAGGTCCCAACTTACCTATCAGTGTCTAGTTACCTTGTGTGTATGTGTGTTCTTAAATTTGAACATAGTCAGAAATCATCAGACACTTGAGGAAAGCCGGAAAAATAGAGACTGAATCCTACAAAACAGGAAATTAGAGAAACAAATCAGGCAAGATAATTTTTTTTTACTTTTTTCAAAATATATTTTATTGATTATGCTATTACAGTTGTCCCATTTTTCCCCTTCACTCTTCTCCCCCCTGGACACCCCCTCCCACCCACATTCTCCCACTTTAGTTCATGTCCGTGGGTCATATATATAAGTTCTTTGGCTTCTACATTTCCCATACTATTCTTAACCTCCCCCTGTCTATCTTCTACCTACCATCCATGCTACTTATTCTCTGTACCTTACCCTCCCCCACTCCCCTGTTGCTAACCCTCCATGTGATCTCCAAATCTGTGGTTCTGTTCCTGTTCTAGTTGGTTGCTTTTGTTTTTGTTTTAGGTGTGGTTGTTAATGGCTGTGAGTTTGTTGTCATTTTACTGTTCATATTTTTTTAATCTTTTTCTTAGATAAATCCCTTTAACATTTCATATAATAAGGGTTTGGTAATGATGAACTCCTTTAACTTGACCTTAGCTGAGAAGCACTTTATCTGCCCTTCCATTCTAAATGAAAGCTTTGCTGGATAGAATATTCTTGGATGTAGGTCCTTGCCTTTCATGACTTGGAATATTTCCTTCCAGCCCCTTCTTGCCTGTAAAGTCCCCTTTGAGAAATCAGCTAACACTCTAATGGAAACTCCTTTGTAGGCAACTGCCTTCTTATCTCTTGCTGCTTCTAGGATTCTTTCTTTACTTTTAATCTTGGCTAATGTAATTATGATGTGCCTTGGTGAGTTCCTCCTTGGTCCATTTTCTTTGGGACTCTCTGAGCTTCCTGGACTTCCTGGAAGTCTGTTTCCTTGGCCAGATTGGGGAAGTTCTCCTTCCTTATTTGTTCAAATGACGTTTCCACTTGCTGTTCTTCCTCTTCTCCTTCTGGTATCCCTATAATTTGGATGTGGAACATTTAAAGATGTCCTGGAGGTTCCTAAGCCTCTCCTCATTTTTTTTGAATTCTTGTTTCTCCATTCTTTTCTGGTTGGATGTTTCTTTCTTCCTTCTGGTCCACACCGTTGATTCGAGTCCCAGTTTCCTTCCCATCGCTATTGGTTCCCTGTACATTTTCCTTTATTTCACTTAGCATAGCCTTAATTTCTTCATCTAATTTGTGACCGAATTCAACCAATTCTGTGAGCAGCCTGATTATCAGTGTTTTGAACTGTGCATCTGAAAGATTGGCGACCTCTTTGTTGCTTAGTTGTATTTTTTCTAGAGTTTTGATCTGTTCTTTCATTTGGGCCTTTTTTGTTGTTGTTGTCTTGACACACCTGTTACATAGTGAGGGGCAGAGCCTTAGGTGTCCACTAGGGTGGGGTAACCCACATTGCTGTGTTGTGACCCTGTATGTGGGGAAGGGGTCTGAGAGGTAACAATGGTGCTTGCACCACTCTCTGCTGGATTTCAGTCACTTCCCCCAGCTCCCACAAGCAAATTGGGCCCTTCTGGGGCTGATTACCGTGTGGGTTGGCTTGTGTACATTCTAGGACCCTGTGGGTCTCTCCAACGAACTCTCCTGTGAGGCTGGGAGTCTCTCCCACTGCCACCTCAACCCCCACAGGTGTTTTCAATCAGTGGTTTGAGGCTTTATTTCCCTGAGCTGGGGCCCTGGGTTGTGCAGTCCATCCCACTCCCCAGTTATTTCTCCCGGTTTATCTTCATGTGAATGTGGGACTGCCCATTCCACAATCCACTGCCTCTCTGGGTCTGTCAGCTGCCACGTTGCCTGCCCCCGTCCTCCAGCCACTGCCTTGCCTCAAGTCCTCTCTGCCCTGGCTGCCGGACTCTGCCCCTCCTACTGGTCTGGATGAATGTGTCTTCCTTAACTCCTTGGTTGTCGGACTTCCATCCAGTTTGGTTTTCTGTCAGTTTTGGTTGTTTTTTGTTTTTAAATTGTTGTTGTCCTTCTTTTGGTTGTGCAAGGAGGCACAATATATCTAACTATACCTCCATCTTGGCCAG